GGAGGAGGAGGAGGATGAGGAGGAGGAGGAGGAGGAGGAGGAGGAGGATTTCGCTGGATTTCGCTAGCCAGATCTCCGGAGCTGCGAGGCACGCACCCCGGCGACGTTGAAAGCCTCCCCTACCCCAGGCCGTCCCTGGGCGATAGAGTTCGGCTTTGGTCAAATCGGGAGGCGCCCCCCACAAGTGGTCTTGGGGGTGCCCCATGCCGTTGAACCTCACGCTGACGATACCCGCACACCAGCTGATCCCATCTGCGTTGGTTCGGCTGCGGCCCCACCCCCAGGTAGCGCCGAGCCGTACCTTCGGCGCCGCCTGCGCACAGGTCAGCGCCTCCCTTCTGGCTAGAGATGATACCAGCACTGTAGCTGATGAGCCCTCCAGCGGATCCCCGTGCTATTTCGATCCCAGCGCTGTAGCTGATCTCGCACCGCTCTCTCCCAACGTGTTAGCTAGAGGAAGATAGAATCGGGTTCCAGCTTTGCCTCTCGCTTCTCCCAGCGCGCTGTGGTAGCTAGGAGGGTGACGTTGGGCTCCAGCTTTGCCTCCCTCTTCATGCAGCGAGTTGTCCTGATCCCGACGCTGTAGCTGACCACGTCGGGCTCTGCCTTCGCCTCCCAGTTCTCGCAGGATGGCGGTCCCCTGCGTCGCGACAGAACACCGCTCGTCGCTCTTCTCGCACGCGCTGTTCCCAGAGGCGTTAGCTGGATGAGACACTCGGGCTCCAGCTTCTCCTCCCGCTTCTCGCATGCCCCCTTTCTCGCACGGACTGCTCCCAGCGTTGTAGCTGGGCATCCACCCGCACGTTTTGCACAGTACCAGCGTCCGCTGCCACTGCGCGTTCCCTTTCTCGCACTGATCTTAACGCTGTAGCTGACCACGTCGGACTCTACCTTCGTCTCCCGCTTTTCGCATGGCGGCGCTCACCTGCGTCGCGACAGAACACCGCTCGCTCTTCTCGCACGCGCTGTTCCCAGAGGCGTTAGCTAGATGAGACACTCGTGCTCCAGCTTTTCCTCCCGCTTCTCGCAGGCCCCACTTCTCGCACGGACTGTTCCCAGCGTTGTAGCTGATCGTGGCCCACCCGCACGTTTTGCACAGTACCAGCGTTCGCTGCCACTGCGCACTTGCTTTCTCACACGGACTACTCCCAGCGAGGAGGAGGAGGAGGAGGAGGAGGAGGAGGAGGAGGAGGAGGAGGAGGAGGAGGAGGAGGAGGAGCTCCCCATCCTCCCTTCCCCCCCGCGTCCTACCTATAGTAGTGGTAGTGGAAACCTGGCCCATCAGGGGGGGCGGGCTCTGGTGTCGCGGTGGCGCGGATGTATCGGGCGCCTTGGGGCAAGCTGATACGGCTGAGCATTGTGCCCGATGGGGCACTGGAGCCAACACTGGAGGGTGGACGGAGAGGGGGCGGAAGGAGGCCGATGGGTGGGTAGGTGAGGATGGAGGGAGTTAGAGGTGTAAGGGATAAGGAATGAGGGAAGAGGCCTGTAGTTGAGGAGGGATCGATGAGGGGGGTTGTGAGGGAGGCAGGGGGCTTTAAAAAGGGCGGGAGGGGGAGCAGGGAGGGAGAGATGGAGGGGTAGGAGAGGGAGGGACGCATGGATACAGGAAGCGGAGAGGGGTAGGGGAAAATAGGAAACGAAACGAGGCTGCGCAAGGAGGGAGGAGAGGGGATGAGACACCGCATGGTTTGAGGAGAACACGAGGCTTCATCTGTGAAGACTAGAACTCCAACGTGAAAAGAATCCGAGTTCAAAGGTGACGCGGGGCAAGCCCGTGACATTCACGCTCAGGCCACAATGAGTCCCATAAGGCGGATGGGTTCAAGTATTTGCTCCGCTTGCCATAGCGTGAGCCTGTTCAGACTGACATTAATGGTTCATACAATACGGAGCAGAGCCACGTACATATATCTGACGTCGTGGCCCCAGCTGTACCCATCACAAGTGGACCTGTAGCTGGGAAAACCGACTGCTTACACGAAGTGCGTTTATGTGATCTCTGAGACGCGATCATGGCGCAGGTTAGGCGTCAGACGTTCCTCCATGATGCGTCATCACAGTAAGGCGAGCCAATCGTTCCAACGGGTCGTTTGATCAGCCGCACTGTCGCTGGTGGAGTCCGAGTGACATGCATTGTGTTCTTGCTGCGGAACCAGCTGGTTCCAACGATTCGTTCGGTGACGCCGGTTTGTCACCGAATATGGACATGCGTGCTCCCTATGTTTACCAGAGCGCTATTGCAGCCAGTTGTTGCTCAGGATCCGGCCACAAACCAAGGCACGGTCATATTAGTCACTTCTGTTGCTCAGCACGTTTGTTGCTCAGCAGCTGTGGGCGGACTAGGCACACGAAGGCAGCAGTTGGTCATGTATCTCGACAGGGCCTGCCCCAAGCATAGAGTCATCACTGTCATGGCACAGAGGTGCGTCGTGGGCGAGAAGTGCGTTCAGAGCGCCACATTGCTTTGATATCTCTGTTGGCACGCACGGTATGACTGTATGAATGTTAATGTGAATCGTGTCGCGCTCAGTCCCCCCCGTCGTCACTCGCACCTTCCAACGGTCTTCTGCTGCAACCGGTTGGTAACGTCAACTGCTATGTGCAGCCACAGCTGTCGATACGAGCGGAGATGTCAATGCCGCTCCGCAATACGATGGGTAAATACGCAGGCTCGCTCCTTTTTTAGCCTACGTCTTTACCATTGGCGTCAAGCAGGCACATATTTGCTGCGGCATCCCATTGTTTGTGAGTCATGGTGGCGTTTGTACGCATGGTTGCTCAACGGTCTTGGTGCCGTGCAAGACGAGATATTTGGAACTCGCGCGAAGGCTCAAGGATCGGCCAGCTTCATAATCGCCCTCAATCGGCAATCAGTTCGGTTATTGTGGTTGCAGATGGTTCGTGTCATGACGGCCGCACTCCAATTGTGCAGGTGTGTTCTCGTGAGCGGTTACCCGTAGCGCTTTCATTGGGGGGGGGGCATGGCGCCACCACGTCAATTGCAACATAGTTACTCGCCTGCATGCGCTATTGAAGGGCATTCCACAGAGCGCTCTGGAATGTCATCATGCGTACCGTTAGATACTGTCAACAATCAAATTGCCTTTCGCGCAGAGGTGCTATACCAGCGCTGGTTAGCCAACCCAGCGCTGTTCGACCCCCATCATGGGAAGATCAATCACGTGCCAGGGCAAGAGGGTGTAGTTCATGTAATTGGGACTGTATTCAGGTCTCCGTGTGTATAGCTGCACCCGCCGTTCGCCAAGTGCACGTCTGCTGCGGTGTAGCTCCCTGGATCTTGGAGCAAGCACAGTCTTGCGATCTTGTTTTCAGCACTCATGGAGGCTCCTTCCACAGGCGTCCCTTGCCACATGCTCTCGTACGTCAGGGAGGGCCCCCAATGAGGAGATGCTCAGTGGCTATGCAACCAACTCGGCCTCGAAGTTGCCCACGGTCTATCGGCTCCCAGCAGCACGGAAACGAACAGCGCACGAACACGTAGGAATTCATTCAGATTTGGAGCGACCGCAGGGGGGCACGTTGGCGCTCGGCTGCTGCAGCATCGTCAAGTTTTCAGTTCTGATCTGCTCGATGCAAGCTGCAAAAGCGCAGGAGCTCCGAAATGAAATGGTGGTGTAATCTGCACAGGTCTCCCAGCTTGCACTCGCAGACGCAGACTTGTATTCCAGTGCTTATGCGTCTTACATCCGCGCCAGTAGATTTATCAATGAAGAGTTACGCCAACATGATGTTGCAAGAACGTATGCCAGCTGAGCTGGAGATTTCCCCATAATCTCGATGCGTTTCAACATGAGAGGAGTCAGATGGGTTCCAGTTGATATTGAAGGGCAGCTTTCAGAGCTGGGTTCTGGTTCTGCGTGCAGGTTGCCTCGCAGGTTGTGTCGGGACGGTCGAAGATCACCGTTGCGCGTGGACCAACGCCAAACAGTGATCTCTCTTGAGTCTTTGTCGCATCCTTCGCGCAGGCATTGCGGTTGTCTCTCAGCGTAGCATTACCCACAGGCAGGTTTTCGCAAGGAGATTGGAACGCGTTGAGGAAGGAGGGTGAGGACGAGGAACAAAAGCAGGAGAAGGCGGGGCGGATGATGATGATGATGATGATGATGATGATGATGATGATGATGATGATGATGATGATGATGATGATGATGATGATGATCATCATCATGATCATCATGCTCATCATGATCATGATCATGATGATGATGTTGCTGATGATGCTGATGACGTTTGTGACGCTGATGCTGATGTTGATGATGATTATGCTTATGATGATGATTATGATGCTGATGCTGATGCTGATGATAATGATGGTGATTATGATGCTGATGCTGATGCTGATGATGATGATGATGATGATGATGATAATGATGGTGATTATGATGCTGATGCTGATGCTGATGATGATGATGATGATGATGATGATGATGATGATGATGATGATGATGATGATGATGATGATGATGATGATGATGATGATGATGATGATGATGATGATGATGATGATGATGATGATGATGATGATGATGATGATAATGATAATGATAATGATAATGATAATGATAATGATAATGATGGTGATGGTGATGGCGATGGTGATGATGATGAGGAGGAGGAGGAGAAGGAGGAGGAGAAGGAAGAGGAGGAGGACGAGGAGAGAGGGGGGAGGAGGAAGAGGAGGAGGAGGAGGAGGAGGAGGAGGAGGAGGAGGAGGAGGAGGAGGAGGAGCAGCAGGAAAAGGAGTGGGGGCGGGCAAGGTGAAGGACGGCCACCGGGGCGCGAAGCTGTTCGCGACACGCACCTGTGCCACAGAGGGCTTCGGCTGTCTCTGGAAACGTGCGGGTGGCAGCCCGGTCGCCACCTTTGCTGGACGCAGCTTAGAGAGAGATTCTTGCCGCTCGGCCTCGCCATTCGGGTGTAAGATCCGGCCCCCAGATCCACCCCGGAAGGGCTCCAGTAAACGGAGTTGCCGTGCAGGGGGCCTCCTAACGTCTGGAGGCGAGGGGGAATTGACGTCCTGGCGCTGCTGTGGGTAATCCATCGTCTCGCTGGGCCGGTGGGCATGTGGGTGTGGCGCCAGCGCCCGCGTTCTCCGGCTGGCTGCCAGAGGGCCCCACGCAGCAGCGGCGGCTCCAGGCTACGTGAGCCTGGGGCTGTATGGGCCGACTGCGTGCGGATTCGCGCAGGCATTGTGGGCGCCCTCCTCAGAGGTGTGCCGAGCGCTCCGCGCTTGGCCAGCTCGGGTGCTCTTTGCCGGGCGCCGAGGATTCGCGATTCCTCAACCTCACCGCCCTCGTTCCCCTTTCCTCCCCCAGGGAGGGCGGCGCGAGAGCCTCGAAACGCCAACGTAGCTTCCCCTGCACAAGTGGGGCGTGAGTTCCAGCCGATCCACTCGCAAGACGCCCGTGGCTCACGTCGATTTTTGGGGCGCCCGTGGCGCCGACGGCGCCCGATGCCCAGCAGTCTGGCAGACCGTCCTGGCTGCCGCCCCCCAGTAGTTCTAGAGAGGCCGGCGCCGGGGGAAGCGCGACCTTCTCGGGCGTCGAGTACTGGGGGATGCAGTAAGTGGGGAGTGAAGACAGGCGTGCACGCTGTGCCCTTAAGGGGCCCTGTAGGGCCCTCAAGAAGTGGCCCCTGGGGCCCACACAGGGGCACGCAAGGCGCATGCCGCATGTCTCTCCCCCCAAATTGATCGCCCCGCCCCACCCATGAACTGGTGCCCGCGTTTCGTCTCGTCAATCTTCATCTTCTTGGGCAGCGCGCCTGCGGCGAATGCCCGGCGTCGCGAGCGCCCACCGAGGCGAGCGAGGCGGGCACTGCCGATGCGGCGGTGCAGGAGGTGGCCGAGGAGGCCGAGCGGCTCGCGGCCGGGCTGCGCGACCCCCCGCCGGGGCCGCCAGGACGCCGTGCTCGGCGACGAAGTCCAAGCCCCTACCCCCGCCGATCAACGATTCGCGGTTCGAGTCTCGAGGTTCTAGGTCTTCGACGTTTTCGTTGGCTCGCGCTGGCTTTCCAGCCTTGGGATGCCTCCAGCGGCTGCGCCTCGCCGAGAGCATTCCTGGGATGCAGGGATCGTCCCGAACGGCCGCCGGAGGTCCGGGTGATGAAAGCCGCCAGGGGGCCCAGCACCCCCGCCGATCAGCGATGCAGTCAACGCGCTGGGCGGCGGGGGAGCAGGGCTCGGAGTTCGTCGAGCACGTGGCGGGATCCTAGGCCTGCCCCTGCCTCCCATCGACACAGGGGGAGGGACGGTTGGTGGGAGCGGGGGTCGGATGTCGCAGCATGCCTGCCTCCCGCCCGCCCCGCGAAGGGCGCGGGCATGGCCGCGAGGCCAACGGGCCCTGCAGGGGAGCCCAGAGATTGACGATATATGACGTGTTCAATCCCAACGCTTTTCCACGACTTGCAGCTCCCTGGAGCCGCTATCTCGCCACGGAGCCATGAAGCATGCATGGATCTGGGACGGAAGTGCTACCCCAGGGCAGGCGGTCGGGACGTCAGGGGCCGCGGGTGGAAAAAATCAGATTGGCGGACGTCGGGGGATGGGTCTGGAGGTTTTTCATTACTTTCTGGCTCCCTTGGCCCACCACGGGCCCAGGGAGGTGTCAAAGTCCGACTCAGGATGAAGAGCTGGTCACGGGGAAGAGCTCCAGGGCCCGGGACCTTTTTCCGTCAGGACCCGGGCCCTTGTTTACTTCATGCCGAACGGAGAGAGTCACGTGTACGCTCGCAGGCCTTGCTTCTCTCTGGGGGTTGTTTATAGGTTGGGCCTCTGTTTGCTGCCCAGAATGGATGGCGACTTGCGATATGGAGGTGAAGGGACCACTAAGGTATGATATTATGGGTATGCGACCATGTGCCCATGGACGTTTTTGATGCTGTGTTTGATGGGTCAGGAAGGGCAGTCAATAATTATTCACTTCGCGGAGCTCCCCATATGCGCATCACTTTGCATTGGCATTTCCGCCGTGAATGTCTAGGCGCAAGAAACTTAGAATATACACGAGCTTGGAGATTGACTGCCTGGGATAGAGTCTAAGTGTGAATGACTTTGAGTGTCTCCAGTCCCAGTAGTACGAGTGAGTCTATGCGCGTGAGCCTGCGCATGGCTAAGCTTAGGGTGAGAGTATCTGCACGTCAGTGGCCTGAGCATGACTGAGCGTGACTGGATCCTCCTGGGGTCTCTTGGGGCTTCCTGGGTCTTCCTCAAGTCTCCTGGGGCTCCTGGGGCCTCCTGGGGCCTCTTTGGGTCGTTCTGAGGCTTCCTGGGGCTTGTGGAGCATCTTGGAACTCCTGGGGCCTCCTGGAACTTCCTGGAGCCTCATGGGGCCTCTTTGGGACTCCTGTGGCCTCCTGGGGCATCTTGGGGACTGCTCCTCCTTGAGCCTCCTGGGGCTTCCTGAGGCCTCTTGGGGCTTCCTTGGGCCTTCCTGGCGCGTCCTGGGGACTGAGCCTCCTGAGACCTCCTGGGTCCTTCCTGGCGTTTCCTGGGGCTTCCTCGGGCCTCTAAGAGCCTCCTGGTTCCTATTGGGGCTTCCTGAGGCTTCCTGAAGTCACCTGGGACCTTCTGGGGCCTTCTGGGGCCTCCTGGGCCTTCCTGGAGCCTCCTGGGGAGGATTCGTGCCCCAGGAGAGGCCCTATCGAGAGCAACAAATGTAAAACACTTAGGATTGGGACCACAGGAGACAGACAATCTATAGGAACATACGTAAAACTCCCAGAGTTCGTGCCTCACAGTACGCCCAATATATAGGAGCTGTTGTAAAACACTTAGGATTGGAGCCACGTGGGAAGGACAAGCTATAGGAACATATCTAAAACACCAAGGATTCGTGCCCCAGGAGAGGCCTGATCTATAGGAACAGATGTAAACACACATAGGATTGGAGCCGCTCCTGGGGCCTCCTGGGGCCTCCTGGGTCCTCCTGGTGCTTTCTGGGGCCTCCTGGTGATTCGTGTGGCTTCCTGGGGCCTCCTGGGACTTCCTGGGGCCTCCTGTAACTTCCTGTGCCTTCCTGGAGCTTCTCGGGGCCTCCCGAAGCCTCTTATAACATTATAAAACTACCTAAAACTCCCTAAAACATCCTGGGGATTCCTGGGGATTCCTCGAAACTCCTCGAAACCCTTGGTGGGAGCCCCCGTGGAAAACTAACTCCAACAGGCCGCTGAGTCATGGCCGCAGTGCAAGCGCGCACGGAGGCCGTACGACTGATATCGATTCGAGGCTACGCCGTTGGGGGCCCCTTTGGGGAGCTGAATCCAGCAAGCTGCTCAAGACATCCTCAGAATCTGCTCTGAGCGCAGACGGGTCTGGCCACCAAAACAGACAAACCGCTTGAAACGTCCTCAAACCCTGCTCCGAAAACGAAAGGGCCAGGAACCGAAACAGACAAACCGCCTGAGACATCCTCAAACTCTGCTCCGAACGCAAAGGATGTCAGGCACCGAAACCGGCAAAGCGCTAGAGGCATCCTCGCTATCTGGGCGCGAGCGGCCCCCCTTTAGGAATGCGAGAACCAGCGCCTCGCTCGAGACATCCTCAGGATTTGTCTTCACAAATTGCTCTGAGCGCTCACGAGTCTGGCCACCAACACAGGCAAACCGCTAGAGACGTCCCCGCAATAGGGGCCCCTTGGAGTGCGAAAACCAGCGCCTCGCACGAGACATCCTCGAAGTCTGCTCCGAAAACGAAGGATGTTGAGTCAGGAAGCGCACCAACCGCCTGAGACATCCCCGCAATCTGGGCGCGAACGGAGGCCGTGCAATACCCCTGGCGGCACCCCCTTTAGGAGGCGCCTCGCACGAGACATCATCAACATCTGTTCCGAAAACGATGGATGTTGAGTCAGGAGCCGCGCAAACCGCTTGTGGCATCCCCGCAATCTGGGCACGAACGTAGGCCGTGCAATACCCCCTGGCGCCCCCCCCCCCCTTAGGAGTGCTAAAACCAGCAAGCCGCTCATCCTCCTCCTTATCTTCCTCCTCCTCCTCATCATATGATCATCACCACCACCAACAATCGAGCATCATCCGCCATCATCATGTAATCGGATCACCCTTCGAATCACCATCGTCATCAGCATCTTCATCGGCGCCATCATCATCACCATCATCATCATCATCAGCATCATCATCATCATCCTCATCATCATCATCATCATCATCATCATCATCATCATCATCATCATCATCATCATCATCATCTTTTGTCAGTATCATCATTTTCAGTTATCGACATCTTCACGCATCATCATCAGCATCAGCATCGTCTGGTGAAGAGATGGAAGAGGGAGGGGAGGGGTGAGAAGGGTCCAGCGCGGCCAGGGTAATAGCAAGAACCCCATCTTAGGACATGGGGAATATTACAATACGTTCGCTGGAGACATGTTCCCCGTAGCACCGTAAGAGAAATTATCAGGACGGTGCTGATACGTTCTATAATCGGTATGCTAAAGATCGTCGGCATCTAGACAACCCATTCCTATTTCCATTCGGGTGTGCAATACGTTGTCCATTCATGTTTCGAATCGGTGTTGAAAATTGCTCTTTTCGGAATGGAAGCAGTATCACATGTCTTCCTCAGTCAGGACATCACATCTGGTATGATACTACAGATGATTTCAAGTTTGCATCAGACTTTGCCTTGTACTCGGCATTCGGTTTACCAGAGTGCTTCTTTCAGGCTAGATACGAAGACTCTGTCTACGACTTCCCCTTCGAAACCTTTTCGAAGGAATCATGCCAAGATTCACGTTCGACCGTGAATCTGCCTGACCACTACCTCGGCCTTTCACGTTGATTTCTCCAGTAGGTGTCACTCCCTCTCATGATCCCAACAGCCCTTCGATTAGGTATTGTACAAGGCGTCCGCCCATGCCCTCATGAAGGATGGGTTCTTTGCCTCGGACCATGCCTCCTTCACAGCTTGTTTCTGATGCGTGATGAAGCGCTCTGCCCCGAATTCAATGTATTTGGGAAGACTTACGCCATTCCGCCGACCCCCAGACATGGTTATCCACGGGTGAGGTCTCTTCGGGCTTGTTGGGAACCATCTTGAGGCTTTTGGGGTCTCTTGGGCGTTTGGGGGGCCACTTGGGGGTTTCTTGGGCGCCTGCTGGCGGTCTGAGGGTCCTCTTAGGAGCTTCCTTGGTTTCATTTGACACCGCCTGGCGGCCAACCCCAGAAGGAGGCAGAAATCCACGGGTGAGGCTTTTGGAGGCCTTCCGGGGGCCGTTTTGGCGCATCGTTGGGGCCTTTTGGAGCCTCTTGGAGGAGTCTTGAGCACCCTCTGGCGTTCTGAGGGTCCTCTTGGGACGGAGGGCTAGACACGTCTACTCGAGTTTCCCTTCTTTGGGACCTCTTGTGCCACTGTTGGGGCCCTCTTGAGCCATCTTTGGCGCCTCTTGGGCCGTCTTGGGGGCTTCTTGGGCCGTCTGGGAGCGACCTTTGGGGCCTCTTGAGCCGTCTTGGGCGGTGTGAAGACCAAAAAGGCGAGTCGTTTCACTAAGGGCTTACAGTGGCCTTTGCCTCTGGAGACTATCGGACCCTGGGGGAGGGGCGAATGGGAGGGGGACAGCCAAATATCTCACATGCCTTTTCACCCCCAGCAAGCGAGGATCGGCGGATTCACTGAAGCCTAGTATCTAGAGGCCTGCAGCCCAATCCTCCATTGGTTGGGTTGTGGGCCAGAGGCCTCTTAGGTGATTCCTAGCGTCGGTGCTTCTCAGGGTATCTGGGAAGACCTCCTGCCTGGTGGACTCTTGGAAGCCTCTTTGGGGCATATGTTGGGCCTCCTGGGGGCTTCTTGGGGTACGGGGGCTCTTGTGGGCCCCTTGGAGGCCTCTCGGCTTCTCGTAGGGGCCTCCTGGCACTCTCGGAGGGAATCGTGGGGTCCAGGGCTCCAGATGTAGGTTAGTTTTTCCCATCTTGGGGCTGTCTCGGGGGTCTCTAGAGTTCTCTTCGGGGCTTGGAGGTTGTTTTCGACGCATGTTGGGGGCATTTGTGGCCGTCTAGAAGCTCGTAAGACGAACGAGCTGTTATCAGAATACCATGGAGCGACCTAAGGTTTTTCAAGGATTGTGGCCTGCAGGGCTTGCTCCCCGGGCCTCCCAAACGGCCCAGGAAACCTTTGAAGAGTTCCAAGATAGACCCTTGGGACCATCTTGGGACATTCAATGGGTGCGTATCCACAATCCCGAGCCCTCCAGAAAAAGCCACGCAAAACGTCCCAGAAGCGCCTGAGAGCGTCCAGCATTTTGACGTTTGGCATCTGGGCCATCCACAGAGTACTCACAACACGTTCAACACAGAAGTCGAAGGGACCCGGGGACACCCCACAGAGCTCCACTCAGAGCCTCGCAGCACCGTGGCAGATCATGCTCTTCAGCACCAATTCGACTAGGCTCTTGCAACAAATCGAATTGAGTACCCCGAAGGCACAGGCGCCCCCGCACCACCTTTCTTGGGCCGGGTCGCTTCTGTCGGGGAGGAGGAGGCCGGAGAGGACGAAGTGTTGGGAGGACAGGATGCCCAGGAGGGGCGTGCGGAGGCAGATGTGGGAGTTGCAGTCGGTGGAGTGGCAGGGGGAATGTGCGCCAAAGGAGAAGTGGAGGAAGGGGCGGGGGAGGAACGAAGATGTGCAGGCGGATGTGGAGGAGGGATCGGCAAGGGAGGAGGAGGAGCGGGAGGAGGATCAGAGGGATCGGCAGCAGCTGGAGGAGGAGCTTGACGAAAAGGAGGGGGAGGAATGCAAGGAAGTTGCGAGGAGGCAGATGAATTCGAAGGAAAGTAGCGCAGAGGAGAAGGGGACTCGGGAGTTTTGGGCAGCTGCAGGTGGATGTTCAGATGAAGGAGGTGGAGGAAGTGGACGACGATGGCGACGACGACCACGAAGGCATCGATGACCACGACGAAGGCCTCGGCGACGACCACGATGACGGGTTGAACGCCACTGAGAAGATTGACGCTGGTGGCTCTTGGCGAATGTGGTCGCTGCGATGCAAACGTAGCCAGGTGGGATGACCGTGAACAGAACTTGGGAGGCATGGTGGAAGCAGCAGAGGGCCACGAAGAGAGGTGTCCGATAAAGTGACCCAGAGGGCCCGAGAATTTCCGATAACCGACCTGGCGGGTCCCGCAAGAGCAATTTGTAAGAACACCCACAGTTTACCCAAGCGGCGGACGAAACCACAAGAGGCAAATTGGAGGGCAAATGGGGCATTGGAGCAATAATTTTGACCCCTTTTAAAGGCTTGGGACTGGGGGTCGTCCAAGACGGTTCAACCGTATTCCAAGAAGGTGGCCAGACGGTCCAATTCAGTTTCAAGGTTTCTTGATGACGGCTCAAGAGGCCTCGAAGACTTTCCGACGTGGCCGGAGAGGCCTTGAGTGTGTCACAAGAGGATCCAAGATATTGCTAAGAGCAAAGAAGTGGGCATCTGAGTTTGAGAAGGGCATAATCGCCAAATTCCACTCGGTTCTTGTGTGTGCTGTTAGCTTCTTTGGTTTTCGACTCGAAGAAGGCTCCAGAAACTTTGTAGACGGGCCCAAGAACCCCCAAACAACAAACCAAAGTTGCCGAAGATTGCCCAATATGCCCCCAAGACAGCACAGGAGGGCCTATGGAGAGAAGGAGTCCGGAAGTCTCCAGTCCGGACGCAGCCAGGGCCCTATGGCGGAATGAGCAGGCCGTTGGGACGACCCCAGGATGGGTTTCTAGGGCTGCGGGGGGTCGGCAAATACGAGGAATGCGTCGGTGAGTGAGCGAAAATCTTATTTACCGACCATGATACCAGGATCTCGCACGCCGTACTCGGTGTGGCGGCGGATTGCTTCGCTCACTCCGCTGACCCATTTTGTAACATTGTTGGCATTTGCCTGCGTGCTGGCGGGAACACTTTTGGAGCCTTTTTAGTGGCATCTTGGGGGTTTCTTGGTTCATTTTGGAGGGGTCTTGGGGGCCTCTGGGGCTCTCCTTCCCCGTTCTCTCCTTCCGCCTGCCGCCTTCCTCCTCCTGTCCTCTCCTTCTCCTCCTCATTCGCCCCTCGTCCTCCTTTTCCTCCTCCTCCTCCTCTTCTGCCCCTCCTCCCGCGCCTCCTCTTCATTCTTGCCTTCTCAGGAGCGTGGCCCGAGACCACGCTGCTGGTGATGTGCGCGGAGACGCAGCCTTTCGTTTCTGGTCGCTCCCGCGGGGGAGTAACGGGACAGCTTGCAACGAATTAGAATAATCTTCACCCATTGTAGTATTAATTTTGAGTACTTCAAACAAGTCTGGTGCTACGTCGGTTCACTGCAGTATATTTCCCAACCGACCTACATGAAAAGCCTGTTAGGCGTCTCAGAGGCGTCTCTCTGAGGCGTCTCTGGGAGGCGCATTTGAGAGGCGTCTCACAGTCGTCCCTGAGAGGCGTCCTACAGGAGTCTCTGGTAGGCGTCTGACACGCGTCTTACACGCGTCTTACGAGCGTTTTAGAGGCGTCTCTGAGAAGCGTCTTGCACGCGTCTTACAGGCTTCTTAGGCGTCTTGCAGGCGCTTCTGAGAGGCGTCTCTGAGAGGCGTCTCACAGGCGTCTCTGCGAGGAGTCTTAAAGGCGTCTCTGAGAGGCGTTTCACAGGCGCCTCTGAGAGGCGTCTCACAGGCGTCTCTGAGAGGCGTCGCTGAGAGGCGTCTTGCAGGCAGCTCTGGGCGTCGTACTCCAGCTCCTGGTTCGAGCCCTCCTCCCTCCTCCTCCTTCCCCTGCGGTACCGGCCGTGCCCCGTTGCTCCCACATCCCAGGGTGGTCGTCGAGGGCCCTGGCAGGCGGCGCCGTCGACAAAACCCCTTAACCCTTAAGCCATTTGAGCCGTTCTGCCATTGGAGCCCTTCCGCCCTTCAACCGTAAACCCTCAAACCCTCCTGACCTCTCTGAATTTTAAACCATGAAGCCCTTATGCCCTTAAGAACTTCAGCCTTTTCTTTTTTAAGGCCCTACACCCGTAAGTTCGAACCGCCGGACAACCAAGTCCTTAAGCCTTTTAAGCCGTTCAGTCCATCCTTTGAACCCTTGAACCCGTAAACTCCTAATGACTAAAACCCTTAACCCTCAAATCCTTAAGCCCTCAATCCGGTCAGCGCTTAAGCCCTTAAACCCTCTTAACCCTTCAACCCTGCAGCCCGAACGAAAATACTAGACAATTTCTGTCCGGGTCGTCCGTTTTTTTTTGGTATGGAACATCTGGTTCATGTTCAGTAACATTGCCATCCACATCTACATCCATAATTTCACATTGTCGGAAGTCGTTTTTTTGTGCACACTCCAACCCGGGCAGTCCTGTTAGCCTCCAGTGTAAATGCGCACTCAGAAACAGTTTTTTGTGTGGGCTGCAACCAAACAGTGAGGCTACTCTGTCGGTTGGAATTAGCACCAGTGTGGCTGAGGGTGCTGGTTCGAAAGAGTAGCAGCTGGTTGGGATTAGTCCCAGCTGGTTGGGATTAGGGGGGAGGGGGAAGGACGGCGACGGCGGTAGCGGCTGGGGAGGAGGAAGAGGCGGACGTCTGGAGAGAAGGATCGATTCGCCCTTGCACTCTGCCAAAATCCTGGCTGCCGTCGGGCACTGCGCCTGCCACACTTGTATCCCCCTGCCGCAGAAAGCGGCCGCGGTGCCTGCCTGCTCCCATGACGAGCTACGGTGGCCTCCACATTTTCGGGGCGCAGAACGGCACCTGCCCAGATTGTCCGGCGCGTTCAGGTCGGGCGGAGGATGGGGATTGAATTCCACGCTTTGGAGTCCAAGGTGTTCCTTCTCCCTCTCCTCCTCCCTCCTCTTTCCCTTCTGCTCCTCCCTTCTCCCGGTGCCCTGACGTGGGTCGTCGTATCGTTTGTTCCATTCATCTTCTTCCATTGTTTTCGCTGTAGTTTTTGCCGCCTCGTCGTCCTCGTCGTCGTCGTCGTGGGTCGTTGTCGTCCTCCGAACCAAATCGCTCACAATCAGGCCCCG